GTCGACCACCTAGCTGAGTTGAATCTGGTGGAAGAACGAAGGACCATAGCAGCTGTTAAGATGGCCGGTTATCAGCAGTCGGTAAAGCGGTATCATGACAACCGGGTAGGACCGCGATACTTCCAGGTGCATGATGAAGTCTTGCGCAGGAGGGATGCTAGTAAGCCTAATGAGAGGGGCAAGCTGGCGCGTAACTGGGAAGGGCCCTATCGTGTAAAAGCAATTGTCAGACCGGGCACTTACCAGTTGGAGACTATGGAAGGTGGCCGGGTCGAGCGACACTGGAACTCTCATCACTTACGTAAATTTTATAGATAAAGTGTAACTGGTTCCTGACCATTAATAAAAGTTCGCTCTTTTCGGAAGGATTGTCCTCATATATTAACCAGTAATTCATCGCGTACCAATCTACCGGGCTAGACGTCCAATCGAATTGGACATCTCAAAAAAAAAAAAAAAGAATACCGGTCTGACCGATTTAACACCTCATCCGTACTAACACGGGAGTTAAAAACGATTTGGCTTTACTAGTGGGAGAGCATCCCGGCCAGTTAAGCCGGACGTTTTGAAGGAAAACTCAAGGTTTGCCTATCCACACGGGGCGTTGAGCCGTTGTGGAAACAGGTCAGCCTTAAAGTCTTCCCGACTGACTATCCAATCTTTCGAAAAGACTTGGGTAAAATTGTATTCTAAGCCGGATAAATAAAGCCGGGCTGTTATTTATTAATCTAAACGGTTAAAGAATCCAAGATGAAGAGAAATGATGAGAAATGATAACATAAAGCATATTTTCATTAATATGTCAATACAAAAGTGCCCGGAGGCAGACCATCATATAAAAAAAAAAGAGAAATACTGATGAGGAAGGAGGGCCGGACGGATCAGATGCCCGGGAAGGGAGGTTCAGGCGCCTCGGAGTGCAGCTCGGGCAGAGAAAGAGCCTTTGGCTGAAAACTTTGGATCCTCTGCTGAAGGATGCCATAGAGGGCCTTCCGCTCCGAGTACTGGCCGCTTTCAAAGCCGTACGTTCCGATTTCGCCGACGATCCCGGCCGAGACCTCGTACTTGTACAAGCCTTGGAAGAAGCGGATGGCAGTCTCCCGGTCAGGCAACGCCTTAGCAGCAAACTCCTCAGGCGTTTGAGTGGCCCAGGAAGCAGCAAGGGCGGCACGCTCCGATTGCTCTTTCTGCAGCTCATCTTCCAGCCGAGCGATTTCCTCGGCTGACCGGGCATTCTCGGCCTCCAGCTGATTGATCTTGGCCTGGGCCTGCTCATCGGCCTCTTTCGCAGCCTTGAGGAGACCATCGTGTTTGGCATAGAGCTGGCGGTAAACCGCACAGTGCTCTGTCCATTTGGCCTCTATCTTCTCTGCCTTGGCCCGGGCAGCCTGGGCTTCCTTCCGGCATTCGACCATCATGGCCTCCATCCGGGCCTTCTCCTCATCCATCGACTTCACCAGCCGGGCGAAGTACTCCTCCCCGATCCGGCCGACCTGCTTCAAAGACATCGAAAATTACTCAGAAAAGTATAAAAACGGTAAGTAGGCGGTGGGAGAGGAAAATGGGTTACCTCATTCAGATCAGCACGGAATGCTCGGAAGAGCTCCTCGTTTGACCTGGACATTAAAGCCAGGGAACGAGGCACTATCGGCCCCTTGCCGGCGTCGGACGACTGGGCCCCCTGATGGGAAGGCTGGTTGACTTCCTCAGTCTTCCGCTTCTTCCGTTGAAGGGACCCCCCAGAAGTCTCCTCCGCGTCCCTTTCCTCATTGGGCCGGTCTCCCACCCCAGCCTGGGACGTATGCCCAGTCTCACCCATCAGATTGTCGAACTCGAAGGTGTCTACGTTGAAGTAGATCTCCCCCGAGTGAATCGGCTGGCTGGTCCCTTGGTGAGACTGGGCCGGCAGATCATCCATCAAGAGTGGTTGGCTGGATGGAGGAGCGAGTGGCTGAGCGGAGGAGGGCTCCTCAACCACGATTTGGGGGACGGCAAACTTGGATTGAAACTTCACCACTAAAAAAAAAAAAGAACCGGTTAGAAGAATGCAGTTGAGAACAAATTAATTCAAATGAAAAATGAGAAGGGCGGTTGATTGACCTTCCTCCTTCTTCTTCTTCGCTGGGCATGAAGGACCGACATTGGTAGTGGCCGGGGCTTTGGATCCCTTCGCCTGACGGATGGGGATGGCTTCGGGGATCACCCCGGGCAGAACAATCTCTGGTTCGGGGTCAGTCTCCCGGCCGGGGTAGACGCTCCACTTCCCAACATGGTACAGACCGCGGGTGGAGGCATCCCCGGCCCGGAGAGTGGCTTCCCAAGCAACCAAGTCATCGGCCTCCGCTGGTTTGACCTGGCGCTTCATTCTTTTCCCCCAGACGTTTTGGGAAAAAGGAAAGGCACCCGGGGGGAATTTGATGCAGACATATTTGTCTTTCCACTTCTTGTTGGAGGGTGGAAGACCACAAAGGAATGCTCGACCTTTGTGGGAAGACACCACCACGAATCCAAGGGTTTCCTTGGACCCGGGCCGAACATCGAACATATAATCAAAGAGGCGAAGAGAAAGAGGAATACGAAGAAACCGGCAGACGTTGATAAAGCTGCCTAACAAACGGTGACCATTAGGGGCCAGCTGCCCGGGCATGATCCCGTAGGTCTCAAGGAAAAGGACTTTGAATGGGTGAATAGAGAACTCACCCAAATCCTTGATCGAATGGTAATGGATCCCAATTGACGTACCGGCATGGAGAGGTATAATGCTCTTCCACGTTGCCCGGTAGGTCAATTGATACCCATCAGGCATCAGATTACGCAGTTCATGGACTTGGGGTTTCTGCATGTACGACGGTTGCTCTTGGAGCAGCCGATCGTCTAGCTGAATGAGGCCCTTGTCCCCGGACTGGGCAACCGAGACCACTTGCGCCGTGGAAGAAGAGGGAGCGCAAGTGGAAGCATCAACCGGCTTCTTCTGTGGAGAAGTAGCCGGGTGCTCAGAGTCGGAGGAAGAAGAAGAGGAACCAAAGGTGGGAGACCGGCCGCCAGAACCATAAGAATGAACGGAGGGGTGCTGACTATCCTCACAGTCTGACATGACTCAGAGAAGGAATGAAAGAAACTTACTTGGAGACGATTAGAAGACTCGGAGGATTCGGAAATAGTAGAAGCAGCCGGGCAGGTTTTGAATTGAAGATTTGCAAGTGAGGAAATTCCAAGGAGAACGACGCTTTATATAGGAGAGATGCCGCCCAGACGGGCGAATGAAGAAATGACACGTGGCGGCTGAAATGATTTGCAATCATAACCTCTCGGGGAGACGAAACGGCACGTTAAATCGGCGGCTCTGTACCCGACTTCGAGAAGATTCTCCCGCTTTGGACCACCGTTTTTTGAAAATTCAAAATTCAAAATTCAAA